ATAAAAAGGAGCCAGACACTATTTTGCATTCCTGTCAAAATAATCTAGTAGTAAGCAAAGTTTTGACCTGGTGTGGCAGTTTGGGCTAGTTGGTATGACATGACGATACTTACAGCGCGAGAACAGAACAATGACAAAGAGACAAGAAGGACCCGCGCTTTTGCGGTAGCCAGCTGCGCCGTCCTGTCCGTTCACGTGTGTCCCAGGAAGACACACGCGAGTTGTTTGACCGAAATTAATTCTGCTAGTTGTGTTGATCCTTTGAGACTCTCACCTTAGTGAAAAACTCTTCCCTCGTGTGTTCGGCTACTTCTTAGCCGCTATAAGACTGCAATCCTGATGTTGGCGCTTGCGATCGAGACCCCCCTTCCACCTCATTTTGTTTTTCGCGTTTTGTTTTTTGTTTTTTTGTCATGCCCCCCCCCCCCCCCCCCCCCCCGTTGCAGAAATCTCCCGAATTCAGGATCCTTGAACTTGGCAGGTATACATTGCAAAATTTTTAGCTCTTATTATGGTGCTAAGAATCAGCATCTTATTTGATGTTTGTGTAGTTCAATTCTCATTTTATAAACATGATAGCACCATTACCTAGTATTATGGTTTATTTGATGTTTGTGTTGTTCAATTCTCACTTTATAAACATGATAGCGTCATTACCTAGTATTAAGGTTTATTTGATGTTTGTGTTGTTCAATTCTCACTTTATAAACATGATAGCATCATTACCTAGCATTATGGCTTCTGGAATGTGATTACGCTGATCATCCATACTTCATAGGATGTACTTTAATTCTCTTAGAATGGGCTTTGTCACTCCATACATTCTGTAACATGTTTGTATGTGTAGTTAGTTATAATGTTTGTGTTGTTCAATTCTCACTTTATAAACATGATAGCATCATTACCTAGCATTATGACTTCTGGAATGTTATTACGCTGATCATCCATACTTCATAGGATGTACTTTAATTCTTGTAGAATGGGCCTTGTCACTCCATACATTCTGTAACATGTCTGTATGTGTAGTTAGTTGTCAAAAAGCTTCTGGACATGACTGTGCTTGTCATCGGCTTGAATAAATAGAATATGCTCATGTCATGGAATTATCTACAAGAACTCCTCGGGTACACAAATGCAATGAAATTTATGTTGAGCTTTTTGAACCCTAATTATATTGCTGAGAACGACTGAAGTACTCTTAACCCTTTAATTAGAGAGTAGAATCTGAAGCAGTCCTTTTGTGTGCCCAGTAATAATGTTCATTTATTAATTATTCGGCTGTTTTATGAATAAAAGGCAACATGGCCACCTGTCGGTCACAATGCCAGGGCTATACTCTCGAGTGATAATTTTTGATGATGTGATCGCTTTTACGAGGTCTTGCTTGTATCGGCACTGGTGGCATTAGTATCTCCTGATGGCAGCATTCCTCCTGCACTGCCACGATTGCTTTTGCTTATAGATGCATCCAGTGCAAAGGCATGCAAATGTAATTTTAGCCCTGATAGTGATCAATCAACCTATCACCTTTGTGTTAAGGGAGAGAAAAAGGCTTACTAACATATCAGTTTTCAAAGTGTTGATAAGGGTTAATTGGAACCTCAGTGTATTTTTCCAAAGTACTGAACATTGTGTATCAGTTCTGTGGGAATTGGCAGAGCAAGCATCATGGGAAAGGAATTGTTGCCATGTTTAGTCAGTGGACCATGGCAAATTCTTGTGCTGCTGAAGTTTCCAAGAAACCTGTGCAGATTTTCTGTATAGCATCTTTCTACCATCACATGAGTGGCACATTTCCACAGAAATTACCTACCATATTCATTGTCTTGTTGCTTCAAACAGGTGATTGTTTCAGCTTTACTTTGCAATCTTCTTGCGTCTTGCGTGCTAGTTAGTGCTTATGGTCATCAGAAGTGCCCTTTGCTTGCCTTTGCTTTCTAAGAAATTTTTGGGCTTTTTTTGCAGTCGTCACAGCAGCAACATTTCACCAAATTAGTCTGCTAAGTTGGGTACTAATATAAAGATAAATCAAATATATAGCAACAATGCCAGTACATGTAGCATTGTCACTATAATAGTATACAGCTAGCATGCATGCTGCATACCAGATGATAGTATATGGCTTATTTTTGTTTTCGTTATGCCCCACTGGATGGTCACTCCCAGTCAAAGTTCACTGCTTTCAGTTTTACAGCGCCATATTGAAGCATGCGCAAAGCAGTTGCAAACATATATGGCACTTTAGAGCAGCATTTTTGTTTTGAAACGGTTTGGAGCAATTGGAGCAGCACTTCTATTATTGGAAGATTTCCAGTCTATTCTGCATAAATAAAGTTTACCTTTATGTTAAACACTTAATAAACATGCATATACTTATTTTCTGATTTACTGTTAATGCTAACGTGTATAAGGACATGTTACAGAGCTTGACATGGAGCACCCATCACATACAGCTTCAGGTCGTGATTTTTGCTCAGCTACAGATTTCCTTTTCCAGAGGCAAAGAAACTAAGAAACATGAAAGTATGTATAGGCAGAGGTGGTTGGACGGCAGCAGCGTGGACGGCCGCGTTCCCTGGCCGGAACCTGAGCAGGGGGATATTTGTAAGGAAAGGACACAAAAGTGCTGTGTTTAGGTACGATTTGTGGCTAAAAGGACTTAAAAGCGCCGAGGAACGTCAAACCGAAACTGAAGAAGACGAGCGGAGGGCAGGTGGCACGAAGGCGATAACAAGAAATGAAAAAGAAGAGGAGAAGAAGAAGGAACGTGCGAAAGCGAGCTCGAGCGTGGAGGCCACGAAGGCAGACGAAGCAGTGCGCCGCTCGAGAGGACGAGTTCCCGGGAGCGTTCCTGAGCCGGACGTGGGACCCGTACGTGTCGGCCAGGTCGAGCTCCGGCGTGTTCGTTCGGGGTCGAGTCCGCCGGCCTGTACAAGGTGCAAGGATGGGGCCTGCTGAACGGCTCCTGCCTGGGTGCAGTGGCCGGGAGCAGGTTCGTGGGCGAGGCCTACCGGGCGTGGTCCTCGTGAGCTGGGGCCTGACCCTGAACCTCAGGAGTTGCGACCCTGACTGCTAGCCGCGACGTCTGACTAAACGGCGCTGCACACGGTAGCGCATCCGTGTGCCGTCAGCCGTTCCAGCCGCTCCAGCCGTGCCTCCTCTCGATATTTCGCTCTCTGGTCCCTCATTTCTTTTTCCTCCGTGCTCACCCATGATAGCAAAGCCTCACCACTCAGCCCCATCTCCTTCCCTAGCTCAACTAGCTTTCTCTTGTCGTCCATCCTCGTCCGCCACACACAAACAACGTGAGGCTCTCAGATGTGAGGCGAGAGCTTAGTCCTGTCGCAGGCGCCAGAAATTGTGATGGTTAAGGACGTTCGTCACTATGTTTGTTGATAGCGGACGAAAAAGGATTAACATCAACAATGGATGCGAACAAAAGAAGCGTTATATTGTACACTAAAGAACGAAGTGGCAGGTGAAAATAAAACTATATGTCCAACCCTACACGCCAAGCGTCACGCAACATGTACGAGAGTCAGACCTCTATTATGCGGAGAGCTCGCGGCTACGCTTACTCCGAGTCCAGCGCGTAGAGTTCTCAGTTCGCAAGAGGAAAACGCTGCCTCACAGTTTGGGTCCTCGTCGTCCCGACATGATGCGATTGTCGACGTGCGCGAGGGCAAAGGTGGCACGGCTGGAGCGGCTGGAACGGCTGACGGCACACGGATGCGCTACCGTGTGCAGCGCCGTTTAGTCAGACGTCGCGGCTAGCAGTCAGGGTCGCGACTCCTGAGGTTCAGGGTCAGGCCCCGGCTCACGAGGACCACGCCCGGTAGGCCTCGCCCACGAACCTGCTCCCGGCCACTGCACCCAGGCAGGAGCCGTTCAGCAGGCCCCATCCTTGCACCTTGTACAGGCCGGCGGACTCGACCCCGAACGAACATGACGGAGCTCGACCTGGCCGACACGTACGGGTCCCACGTCCGGCTCAGGAACGCTCCCAGGAACTCATTCTCTCGAGCGGCGCACTGCTTCGTCTGCCTTCGTGGCCTCCACGCTCGAGCTCGCTTTCGCACGTTCCTTTTTCTTCTCCTCATCTTTTTCATTTCTTGTTATCGCCTTCGTGCCACCTGCCCTCCGCTCGTCTTCTTCAGTTTCGGTTTGACGTTCCTCGGCGCTTTTAAGTCCTTTTAGCCACAAATCGTACCTAAACACAGCACTTTTGTGTCCTTTCCTTACAGCAGATAAAGTGTTTCATGGCATCATATTATGGACAGTTGCAATTAAGCATTGCATCTTTCTCAGCAATGCTGCTTCACATAGAACGTTGAAAAGAGAGAGAATAAGAATAAAGGCAAGGGGTTAACCAGGTTTGAGCTCGGTAGGCTACCTGAACAATCGTTACACATCACCATATTAGGAATGTGTCGTATGCCAGGATGCAATATTGACCTCACTTCCCAACAATATTAAAAAAAGTGCCAAGCTGGGACTTTTATCCAGACATTAATAGGTACATCTATTAAATGTATCTAGCCTCCAATTATGGACATTAGACATCTCCTGAATGCCTGTGGTCTAGAAAAATATAGAATTTGTCCTGTACATGTATTTTACAGAATTATATGGATTATTTTTGTGCAGAGCTACATGTTTGTGGGCTTCATATCAGATTTTTTTATTTACATATTTCTGGAAATTTTCATAAAGTGTTGCTGACTTTTCATCAGAGTTTCACATTTTTTTTGCCAGAAATCAAGGCAACAAATTTCATTTGAATCACTGCACTTCATTTTAAGGTTGTGCATTGGTAAAAAAAATCAGTCTGTCTGTTTATGTGCACACGTATGCGGCACACACATTTTTCACTGTATGCTACCAAGTTTGGTGCGCCATTGTGCCTGCCTAAAAAGAAAGGAAAACGCCAATTTACTAATATACATTCATCTGGATAATTTTCACGAGATCACCACAGATGCACCTTTTTTTTTTTTCAGTTGTTGGACATCGTGGCGAATGTCGAGAATTTCGAGATCTTGGTCAGCCCACAGAACCAGCAGATGTATATTTTTTTTAGGTTTTGCTTAGTCGAGTTCTGGGTATGCTCAGCTGTCTTGCATTGTTCGATGTTTTCTCCACATGCCTCTTGGAGTTTCCTGGAATAAGACATTACCAGATGGTACATGTTGTGACAGAAGTGGACGTTCTTGCACAGTATAGACTGCACAGGTGTTCCTGTGCTATTAGGGCGCCTCAGTGGCAGTTGTGGAATCAGTTCACACCTGAAGCTAGGTTTTTCCTGAACTTTCAAAGCTCAAATAAGAACTACAAATTACTTTCTTCTACACTTTCTTTAGATTCATTACTCACTGGCTTTGTATGATGGCATATCATGCCGAGTCATTTTAACCTACTGTACTACAGAAAAATCTCTACATTTATTCTTGTGTCTTTTTCTTTATTCTTGCCTCAGATACTAGGATACTACTTCCAATGTAGGGTTACTTCACCTTTTGCAGTCCGAAACCATTTCTCACGTTCGTTCTGGTTCAAGACTGAAAGATTTAAGCTGAAGTAAAGGTCGTTGACTTGGCACATAATGTAGTGAGAGAACGTGCACATGAATCAGCTGCAAGGCAACCTGTTGAGCAGTGTCTAACCATAGACCACGGCAATCGTGTTGAATTTTCAGGTAGGGCCTGACAATGGACTGCAAGGAGTTAAAAAATGGATATTTATTAATTCTGTAGTAGTGCAGATTTATGAAATTGATAAAATCATCTAATTATTTTTAAAATTAGTGACTTGAGGCACTTGCTGCAGAGGCAGGTTTAAAGCCTGTCAACATGGACTTGTTCAGTTGGAAACAAATTTGTAAATGGCGCTACCAGTTACAAGATATCTGTATGTCAAAGTGCTCGGCATATATCTGCTTAAAGCACTCATCAAATATCTGCAGTGCTGAAGAAAAGTAATTACTCCAATTCATGTTGCTTTACACTGATCTCGTACATTTCAATACTCGTGCTAATTACATTGGTTCAACTTGAATAGGCCTTGCATTTTGACAGGCTTCATTTTTGCCATTACAACTGTACCTGGCTATGATGAAATAAATCAGCCGTGGGTCTAGTGAGGAAAGGCCTTTCACAACAGGATTTTTTAGTGGGCTCTTCTCCGGATCTTCCCGTGAATGCAAATGCATATTTTGTACTTACTTTGCAGCTTAAAAAGGTATTTAACCGATATCTACCTTCTTGAGCAGCACATGGCCCTACAATATTGTCTACATTTCGATGTCAATATTCAGCAGGCCAGTGACTCCCACTGATGAACTGAGGAATCCACAAGCTTTGTTACTAGTTTTTGAAACTATTATTGAGGTCCTTTTCCGAATAGAATGAGTGGCTTGTCTGTCTAAATGTGTGTGAAAAATGGCTGTAAGGTCATCGCAATAGCTAGTGCGACGCTGAGCTTTGCTACCACCCGCAGATCCCAGCTAAACTTGTATTTTGTGTATTTTGGGAAAAAGCACACTTGAGAACATTTACTTCATCACTTAAGAAATGTGAGGGCGTTCTTTGCAGCTTACTGCTACTCTCAGACGGATGGCAATAGGTACAGTTACAAAAAGTGGTTCTAAGTACTGGATTTTCGCTCAGTGGATATGACTTCGTTACTGTCGAGCTTCCATTCTGTAGTCTGGATATGTGCCCCAAAACAAATGCTTGCATTTATTCAATGAAGTTTCATTCAGCAATAACCGCATTGTGATTTGTTGTGCATGTCTACCTCTCAAAGCAGTCCAATTGGCCAATTGGTGTGGCAGAATCTGGTTGTACCGGAGATCACAATTGCTTTGTCATAATGTTAAATGTGGTATTACAAATGGTTGTGACCAGTGCACGTGTGTAGCAATCATAACGGGGTCTAACTGTCCCAAATAACAAGAAATATGGACCTTCAAGTTTGCACAATTTAAATACAAATTAATAGAACTGTATAAAGACAAGTAATCATAGAAGTATCAGTGCAGTTATAAATGCAATGGTATTAGAGTACTCTAAAGTAAAGATTGAAATTATCATTAAAATGCAGTATGATTGGTCCTACATTTTCAACAATTTGACACAGCAATAAGGCAGCAATAGAGAAACGAAAGCAAAACATCTATAGTCAGTACTATTTAGAAACAAATATGCATGCACTAACTTATCGTATCCATCTTCCTGTATAGTCCAGGTTTGTTCCATGTGTTGCAAAACTATTAACCCTTTGTTTCCTATAGCGAATCTAGTTATGCAAGTAAATATATATACTAGGTATCTCGGCTATCTTTAGCCAGATTTTAAAGATATGCCAACACACGCAATTACAACGCTATAAATTCATGTTGCTGACTATTGTCTATAGTGAATCAGACTATTTTTTGTGTTCTGATCAATTGTTTATTTAGACCTTTTTAACTAATTTCTGAAGGAATGAAGATGGGTCAAAAAGTTCAATGAACAAGTTGTAGATCGGTTTGAGAAACGTCTGATTAAACAGTTTCGAACTTCAATTATTAGTGTTTTTCTGATAACTACAAATGCCCGTGAAATGAAAAAAAAATACCACATGACAAACCCACTGGCGCTCGCTAACGTTCCACATACGAACGATAAGCTTCCTTTGCACTGGTTCATGACAGCGGTAAGCAGTCGCAGTGGTTATCGCTCTTGTGGCCGATAGCAAAAAGTGTTATCACTCATCACAAAGCCACCACCATTGTTGCGGCCCTGTCGAGACAGCACAATTGAGCAAATGCTATGGTCGCTCGTACGCGGAATGTCTGGGAGCTCTAGCGCATGGTTTGTACAGGTTTCCAAAGTGAAAATTCAACGATATTCAAGGACTTTCCAGGACCTATTGCAAGTTTTTCAAAGAGTCAAAGCGGCATGTCAAGTTGGAATTTTTCACTCTAAGATTTTTTTAAATGACCAATTTTATGCACTTACAATAAATATATGAATATTGCGATTATAACAAAAATATAGTCCTAATAACTTTTTGCACCCTCTCCCTGACTCTACATGGGGAGAGGGCAGGATGCCGTGTCAGAAAGTTGCGTGCTGACGGGCTTTAACGCGTATGTGCAGTCAGGCCTTAAAGGGATGGTGCCACAAAATTTGTGGCTTCACGCTGCGTGCTCTTTGCTGTAAGGTTTAATTATAGCTTCAAAAAACACAATACACGTACCAAGATTAATTTATTGTCGCTATATAATTTGTCGTCTCATTGATGTGGACAGTTTTCAGTTCCTGTTCTTGGGCACCGAGTTGGGCAGGTACGTAACAGTGTAGCTGACTTTGTCACATGGTTACAAAGCTTTCCATGCGTCATACTGAGTATTGTCAGCTCTTGCTCACATGTGTCACACAAGCACCTGCAAAACATACGCACCGCTAGCTGTAGCAGCCGCGATGCTTTGCCGGTATGTACGTGCCGGAAGTCGCTCGCCTTGCTACAGATCTGGTGTGACGTCGCTACAACTTTCGTTGCCCTTCTATAGAGCTTTGTCAGCGTTGGAAGCGCTCACGATGGGCCTTGATTAGGAGAATGAGAATTTAGGTACACTTGGAAGTGACTTAAAATATATTCTAAACGTTTCCGAAGTACAACAATTCATGTGGAGTGTCCTTACCTATGTAGAGAAAACCCAAATGGTGCTTGCTATATATAGCCTTGAAATTTGATGACACCGCCTCATAAGAGCGTTGGTTTATGCACAGTTGACACTTGTCGCACGTTGCTCAACAACCAAGAAGTAACAACTGTGACAGTGGTTCATTTACACTCATCCTGTGGATACATGTGTGTTCTTTTCTAGCATCCTTCTGGGTTTGTTAAAAGCAGCACGCTTCCAGTGTAGAGCTGCGACAGTTGTTCATCAGCACTCCTCCTGTACACTTTCTTTTCTTGGGTCCTTTGTGTTTTAGGGGTGCGTTGCATGCATGGGGTTGTTCGCCCTTCTTTGTGTGACATTTTAATTTCTTGCTATCACATTCCCTGCTTAACCCTCGCCACGAAACTTTTTTTTTCACATGCATTTTTGCGAAATTGGCCCATGTGTGCCCACGCTGCATTACTGCTTTGGAATAGGGGATTTTAACACGTTGACACACCGATTTACCACATTTAGAAAGTCGCAACGCCGATATGAGAGTGCTCTGCTCACGAAATTGAGGGATTTTAAAGAATGGCTAAAAATTGTGGGACCTTTAAGGGCCTTGAAAATGCATTTTTTCAAATTCAAGGGTTTTCAAGGATTTTAAGGACCTGTACGAACACCAACTAAAATCATCATTCGCACTGGCGTGAATTGGACACTTTGCAAACTGATGAACTACTTTCTCATTGGAATGTCCGGCCCATTTTCGTAGCTTAAAATGTTAGTTAATAAAAGTGACCTAATTAGGCAATTGATCAGAACACAAAAAATAGTCTGACTCTTTTCAGGCAACAGTCGGCAACATGCATTATTTGATCATGTCGTCATTGCGTGTGTCGGCATATTTTTAAAACTCTGGCTAAAGATAGCTGCGAAACCCTATATATATATATATATATATATATATATATATATATATATATATATATATAATGAAAAGAAGTGTATACCTAAGGGCTCGTTTTTATGTGTTTTGACACAATATTAATGAGATATAACAGATAATGCCAAGGAATGTATAGGGTGAAACGGGGTTTATTGGCACAAGTAGTACTTGCACAGCAGGTCTATTGATGCGGAAAGCAGGCGGCAGCAACGGACTCAGGAATCACAGCACTCGGGGCAAACGCTCGCGCTTGGCTCCTCTCGCTAAAGGCGTGACCCACTGCGGCACATAATCTTCTTCCTCTCTACAATACCCCCGCGACGAAGACGAGCCATCCTGGCAAGTCAAGGTGACGAAAGTAGGAGTGGGTCGTGATAGGGCTTGAGACGACTCACGTGGACAGTCTCACGACCAAGGTGTCGCCTGTCTGTAGATGGCGTGACCGGCTCGATCACGTATGTTACACGAGATCGACGTTCGACCACGTGATAAGGACCGTGAAACTTGGGGGCAAACTTAAAGGACAGACCTGGGGAGTGGAAGGGCAGTCGGAGCCAGACGAGCGAGCCCACGGCAAAAGTCTCGACTTGCTGGTCGCGGTCGTGGCGGTATTTTTCGAGTGCTTGCTTGTCCGAGGTGAATGATCGGGCCAACTGACGACACTCTTCAGTGTGGTGCACAATTTCAGAGAGAGGGTTGAACTCTGAGACGTCTGGACGATGCGGCAAAATGGTGTCAAGGGTGGAGCATGGCTCACGCCCATATAAAAGAAAGAAAGGCGAGAAGCCTGTGGTTGACTGCGTCGCGGTGTTGTACGCATGTCACAAATGGAAGAATAACATCCCAGTTTGATTGGTCGGAATCGGCATACATGGCGAGCATGTCTCCTAGCGTTCGGTTTAAGCGCTGAGTTAGACCGTTGGTCTGCGGGTGGTAGGCTATAGAGGTGCGGTGCACCGTGCGGCATGCCCGAAGGAGTTGTTGTACAACTTCGGATAAAAAGACACGCCCTCGATCACTCAGCAGTTCATGTGGTGCCCCATAACACAGTACGAAGCGTCGCAAGACGAAATTGGCTACGTCACGTGCACCAGCCGTAGGTAGTAGAGCTGTTTTAGCATACCTCGTCAGATGGTCGACCGCGACAATGATCCATTGATTTCCAGTGGCAGTGTACGGAAGGGGACCATATAAATCGATTTCATCGCGGTCGAAAGGGCGCGCTGGACACGGTAGAGGCTGTAATAATCCGGGTGAATGGGCCGCTGTCTTTCGTCGTTGGCATAATGAACAGGACCGAATGTATTTTTGTACAAAGGTGTACATACCACGCGAGTAGTAACGCTGGCGGATCCGGTGATATGTTTTTAACACACCAGCGTGAGCATGTTGTGGGTCGGCATGAAAATACGCACAGATATCAGATCGCATGTGGCGTGGTATAACCAAGAGCCATTTACGGCCATCCGCATGGTAGTTTCTGCGGTATGGTTGCGCGTCCCGTATCTCGAAATGTGTGGCTTGGAAGCGAAGAGCGCGTGGGTACGCAGACAATGAGGAGTCGGAAAGATTGTTGAGGAGAGATTTTATCCATAGGTCTTTCCGCTGTTTAGACGACATGCTTGAGACGGAAATGGGAGCGATGGGAAAGTTGGCGTCTGAATGCAGGTCTGCGCTGGATCTCACTGGTGATCGTGAAAGGGCTTTCGCATCAGAGTGTTTTCGTCCTGAGCGGTAGACGACACCAATGTCGAATTCTTGTAGGTGAAGAGCCCAACGTCCAAGGCGACCTGAAGGATCTTTTAGCGACGCCAACCAACAAAATGCGTGGTGGTCTGTCACAACGTTGAAACTCTGTCCGTACAAGTAAGGACGAAACTTGCTCAATGCCCAAACGATTGCGAGGCATTCTTTTTCAGTCAAGGAGTAGTTCATTTCCGCTTTCGTGAGCGCGCGGCTGGCATATGCCACGACGTACTCTGGAATACCGGGCTTTCGTTGCGCGAGTACGGCTCCCAGACCAACGCCACTGGCGCCTGTGTGCACTTCAGTGGGGGCACTTGGATCGTAATGGCGTAGAATGGGTGGCGGCGTAAGCAGGCGGCGCAGTGCAAGGAAGGCTTCGTCACATGCCGGGGTCTAGTTCGAAAGATTAGCTGAACCATTCAGTAGTTGCGTAAGTGGGGCTATTATTGATGCAAAGTTGAGGACGAAACGACGAAAATACGAGCACAAGCCAATGAAGCTCCTAAGTTCTTTGAGTGAAGTCGGCTTCGGAAAGTTGGCTACGGCTCAAAGTTTGTCCGGGTCGGGGCAAATTCCATATTTTGACACAACGTCACCAAGTATAGTGAGTTGGCGAGCCCCGAAGCGGCGCTTCTTTAGGTTAAGCTGGAGGTTTGCCTTAGTAAGGCACTGAAGAATTGTGCACAGACAGCCGACATGGGTAGGGAAATCAGGAGAAAATACGATAACATCATTAAGGTAACATAAGCATATCTGCCATTTAAGGCAGCGTAAAACGCTGTCCATCATTCGTTCAAATGTTGCAGGTGCATTGCACAGACCGAATGGCATAACCGTGAATTCGTATAGGCCATCCGGCGTAACGAACATTGTTTTGGGACGGTCACACTCTGCCATCGGAACCTGCCAGTAACCTGAACGTAAGTCCAGCGAAGAAAAGAATTCGGCACCTTGTAGGCAATCGATAGCGTCGTCGATGCGGGGAAGAGGGTACACATCTTTCCGTGTAGTATTGTTCAGTCGCCGGTAGTCTACACAAAATCTAATCGAACCGTCTTTTTTCTTCACTAACACAACAAGTGAAGACCAGGGGCTAGAAGATGGCTTGATGACACCGCGCTGAAGCATATCGTCCATGTGCTCTGCAATTACACTTCGTTCCTTGGGTGATACGCGGTAAGGGCGTTGCCGCAAAGGAGGGTGCGTTTCAGTGTAGATT